AGATGGTGATAGGCATCCTACAAGCAAGAATACAAATGCCACGACATTGTTATACCAAAACATTTTTAGATATTTAGAATAGATGACATCACTGAACACAGATAAGAGCAAGTCATGAAAATAAATCAAACATTCACAATACGCACTCATACACACACACCTACACCCACACACCAGTGCTGACACTTTGTAATACTGTGCTTGAATGTGCAGTAGGATGAGGACTCTCTTATTGGTTGTGGTATTGAATTCCATTGATGGGATGCGTGCAATGAAAAGACAGCCTGGCTAAATGCACTTTTCCTAAATGGGAGGTGTCATGGTTTTGGATTTATGTTGTTTTAATGTTCCACCTTTTATTTTGAAATGTTTTCCTCCTTGTGTCTAGTCTGGTCCTGCTTCCTGTGTTTTCCTCCCTGTCTCAGTTTCCCTGGTGTGTCTGATTGTGTTCACCTGTTGCCCTTGTGTTTCTGCCTCCCCTGCCAGCTGTGTCTTGTCCTGTGATTACCCTTCTGTGTATTTGGTCTCGTCTTCCCCTGTGCTCCATGTCTGGTCGTCGTTGTTTCATGTCCATGCTACCTGTCGTCGTTGTTTCATGTCCATGCTACCTGTCGTCGTTGTTTCACGTCCATGTTCCCTGCCTCGTCTATGCTCGTCTGTCCATGTCTCCTGGCTGTTCCCGTCTGTAAGTTAGTTCCTGTCTGTCGTGCTCTCCGGTTTTGTTTTTGTTAATTAGTTTCTTCAGCTTTTTTAAAAATAAAATAAAGCTCGCTTTTTGTTACCTGAAACAAGTGGCAGCATCAGTTAAATCTCCTCCAATCAGAAATGACCCAACCAGCAATTACAAATATTTTATCCCAAAAGATTAATTTTGAGTGTTTGATTTATTTTTATTTTAATAACACATGAATCTGCTCCTGGGTTATTTTCAAAAGCTGCCATCATCTGCAGTGGAGCTGAATGTGTTAATGTGGCCCTGGAAATGACAGGATCACAAATGATGGTATCTTTTTCCTAGTTCAGTCAGACAACTCATGTGTTCCTTTAACATGTTTATTAGAAGCAGCATATAGTTGAGTTTGGCGACTAGGCTCGGGCATCATCACTCTATAGATATACATAGCACGATGAGTGATGATTAAATAACTAACCCCCAAAACTGCGTGGAGATTAGATACTATCCCCCAAAACTGCGTAGCCCGAGCCTGACGCTGGTGATGTAAGACTGATAAGTAGAGGGCCTGGCGAGCTGCCATGTGGCCATTCCCCCTAAGCACAGCGGCTTTAAGGGGAATATACTACTTAGTGAGACTGCTATGTGTAGGCCTGAGGAATAGCCCAGAGCCGATTCTTCCCTGAGCACAGCGGCTTTGAGAGGAATATACTACCTATATGCTACCTAATGAAACTGCTATGTGAAGGCCCGGGAACAGCCCGAAAAGCCATCCCCCTTAAGCACCACGGCTTTGAGGGGAATATACTACCTAGAGAGACTGCTATGTGTAGGCCTGGAAGTGACCAGTGCCGACCTCCCCCCCAGCACCGCGTCTTTGAGGGGAATATACTACCTAGAAAGACTGCCATGTGTAGGCCTGGAAGTGACCAGTGCCGACCTCCCCCCCAGCACCGCGTCTTTGAGGGGAATATACTACCTATCAAGACTGCTGTGTCTTTGAGGCAGCGACAATGAGCTTTCCCCCCCAAGCATGCAGCTATGAGGGGAATATACTATAATGAAATAAATATAATCTAACCCAGCAACCACCTGGTATGCAATAATAGAATTCTACAGATATACATCTTTGAACGTTACTCATCATCGAGTAGTGCAAGAGCTCATGGTTGTTTGTGCTGCAAGGATCTCATTCATGTGAGGCATGATATAGCGCTGGTGGGCAGAAGATGACCAACGGCCCAGGATACTCAGGGTTGAGGTAGGCGGATATAGAGCTGCGGTTGTGGCTGTGCAGATTCTTAAACAGTGGGAATAGCGATCTGGGGGCAGATCGCAGCTTAGGCAGAGATCACGCAGCTTGGAGGAGAACCCTCGTCGTTGGGTTTGCAGCCATCGAATAAACATGGGTGCCGACCCATGTGTCAGAGGGCAATGATGCGAGAAGTTCAGCATGGAAGATAAAGGACAAACAAAACTGTTAGTTTTAGCAATGATTATTCGGGGTTCCTTGACTCCGCAAACAGAAATGTCAGACATTGAATGTTTCAAAACTGTGTATATTTGATCTCCAAAGTTAATTCAGTAAGGGAGAGATTATGCTGAGGATTAAAAGGTGAGAGGTCTGTGTATATTCACCACCTGAGAAACCAATAGAAAGCTGTAACAACTGCATCTGACGTTTATCAATGTATAGTGAAACCCCTTTGCCTGAACTTATACATTAACCTTTGCACGGGTGCAAAGTTAAGAGGCAGTCTTTATCATTGCGTGGAGGACGTGCGTTCTTAAGGCCCTTGAGGAGCAAATTAATGAACTCTAGCGTGGCTTAATACTTAGCACTTGAAGATTGCAGGATTCGAATGAAAATACAATTAATGCATGAACAACTATTATATCTATTGCATAAGTACACAGAGGAGGTTGGGCCAGAAGAAGATAAAGTACCAAGCTGAATTGTATGCTTTGAATCATGCTCTTGGTTGGAGGCAGAATATGGGAAATCCTTGAGGGGCTTGACGTGTAGATCCAGAGTCATTTGGTTGAACGAAGGGCATGGCAAGCTGGTGGGGCAAACCACTCATTGTGAAATCCCCCGAACCAGCAGAAGGCGCAGCATCTGTAAGTAACTAGAGAGGATCTGAGGACACCGCAAGGTCATTATAAAAGAATGAACATAACCTTCCACTCGTCGCAGAGGGGCTAAGGACCAAAGATCTGAGCAATAGCCATCTCTAAGATTGCATTCATGCCGAATAGTCCGCGTCTTTACACCAGACGCAAGTGTATTACATTGTTTCATTTGCAGAAGGTTGGGTTTGCGTTCACCCAGGCAACCTCAAACAGACTATGAACTGTAAACTAAAGTCATTGTACGGAGATGCTTTTTCAACAATTGGCGGGACATTAAGCGGATAAAATGCAGATCCCAGCAATTTCTACAGTAGCCTGCATCATGGAGCATTGTCGGGTTATTTTCATACTGCTGTTAATCTGGAGAGTACATCAACAGACTCTGCGACCGGCGCATAGGATTATAAATCGGACAACGTGCATTAAAAACATTATAACACAGACGTTATGCAGTGAGGAGGTTTCACCGATGACAGGTGGCTCTGATGAGATTGTACCACTGCCTTTTCTCTGTACACAGGGGACCAGTGAGGTAAGCAGTCACCAGAATGAATGCATGACCCTATAGGTTACTGGATGTTGCACACAGCATAGATAGCAAAACAAGCGATGACGCACAAATAGTTGTTTCCCATGTTTTGATGCGGACTACGTCACACCAGCAATGAACCTCTCCAGAGTTTACTAGCGAGCGACCCGAGGCCACCTCTTTTAGGCGGAGCAGAGGTATTGGACTGCTTCCACACCAATCCAACGAACCACATCAAGGGGTTAACGCTACAGGGACCGATTCAATAGTACTAACCAAGCAGGTGTGAACGTGACCTAAGACTATGGTGCCTTAAGGTTTGAAAAGAAAGGCCAGCGCTTGTTCCTTATAAATATAAAACATCTCTTTTAGAGAGACTACCAGTGGGAGACCATAATTGAAGGCAGTAATCAGTATTGAATGTATTACAAGTCTAATATGTAGTATAACATAGAGCACTTTGAACATTTGGAAAGGCGCTAAATAAATAACATTAATTGTAATGATGGCTGTTCTGATGCGGGACAGCTTGTCTGGTGGCAGTGAAGCTTGCCACCAGACAAGCTGGTGGCAAGCTATCGAGAATGATACCCATAATTCTAGACGTGTGGAAGGGCTTCCAGTTCCTGTTCTGAAAGAGGTAGGCCTAGCTGTTGAAAAGTTTTATCTGGGAAAGTTAACAACTAGGAAATGGTTAAAAGATGGACACCAAGGGGTGCTTACAGGTGTCAAAGAAACGTGGGCTACTATGAAAACCAAATGCACATTTGATTGTAAAACCTTAAAATATATATGCCACAGAAGGCATATGGGATGTCTGCTTTCCCTGCCATGTCATCTACAGAGCAAAGAAACGGGAAAAATCTTTAGTAGTAATAATACTCTTAACAGAATAATCGTGAGGAACTAACGGCTCAATAAAGAAACGTTGTTAGAATAATTCCTCCTAGCACTAGGCTAGGGGCCTGTCGTGTTTTTAAACGTTCAAATAGCAGCACGTGTGATACTCCTGGCTCCTTCAGTGCAAACTTCAGTCTTGAGTGCAGGTTTCAACAGACATGGGTCCCTGGGAGCCAGCATAACCTGCTAAGAAACCTTGATTTAAGCCTGTGATAAGGTCATTTGACGTACATCTGTGATTAGAAAGAGCTTGGAAACGATTTGCAGCATGAAGCCTCCTAAGGCACACCCAGAGAGAGGCAGATATTGCAGGTAGAGCTTAATTCCTGTGAGGAAAAACTCTTCTTTGGTAGGTGATTAAATGTATATGGCCGCTTGGCAGAGAATGATTCATGGTATTCATAGAAAAGACACTGAAGGAGATTGAAGTCTAAAATGATGGTCAAAAATGTATCGAGCTTCCCTTCATATTCACGTGATGGAAATTATTAATTTATTTCCGTTTTTAATTTCATTGATTTATAGTAGGCCTAGTATAAATACTTATACAACTTCTGTATAATTGCCTCAAATATGACTTACTACAGGCCAAATATTTCCATAATAAAACATTGCTTATGCAGAATAGTTATATACCTGCCAGGATGCGATTCCTAAGGAACTGCTGCTGCAAGGGCCGGAAACAAGAACTCGTGGCTGGATCTGGGACTCCATTTCCCAGAATCCTCGGGAGTGTGACGTCAGCGGCACAACGTGGTTGAACACGGAAGTAGAAACATTTGTTTACATTGCAGGTAGAGGAAATCGAGTTTGTTCACGGGAATATATCGTGCAATTAAAGGCTTCAAGCGCTGATTTTACTTCGAGAAGGTAGGACAGGATGGCAGGTACTTTGGGAATGCCGGAGTCAGCTTACTCCTGCCTTTTTTGGTGTTTAAATACCCACCGACCGAGAGACAGTGCGACTCTTAGCTGACACACAAGAGAGGGGTTGTTACCGGAGCTGGCGTAGAATTCGGGACTTCCTCTGGCCCAAAGGATATTAAAAGCTACTCCAGATGAGGACGGAAGGGACACCTGAATGTGTGTCGTGCGGGAGCTGTGGCTCGTTCCCGCGGCGTCTGAACCATGCTCTGAGCTAGCCTGTGTTTCGGGAATGAGGCATTTCTTACGGCTTCTTGCGTATGATGATTCGGTTCCAGAGTCGGAGATTGCAATAGACATTTGCAAGGACAGCACCGGCAGGTAAGCAGCAGCAACATGAAACACAGCAGCAGGAACATGAACGCAGCAATAGCAAATAAACGCAGCAGCGAGGTAGCTGCAGCAATAGCAGCAGCAAGCAATGCATGGAGAGAGATCTGGCAGGTTAAATAGAGCGGCATATTAAGGAGACTGTTTGGTTGGTTGTAGAGTGGCAAGGGGGCGTTATGTATGAATGCAGCATAAGTGCTCGAGTTGACTGCCTGAACTAGCTCGCAGGCTTCGCCCCATTTGTTTAAAGATTGTGCTGGCTTGACCCCAAAGCTGGGGCTACTAAACATTAGCGTAAGGTCGGGGGGAGGCGCTGGTTACAAAAGAGGATGTTTTGTAAGCTCAGGTAAGCTGTGATGCAATGCACACTGTACACACTTCATCAAAGTCAGACATACAAGCCTATCAAAAATGCAATTTAAAAGGTATGCATTTGTTGTGTTTCCATCCAATACAACTTAAATGATCATTTATGTTGCAGGAATGCACTGATGTAGAAATGGTACAAACAGCAGCTTTAAAGGCTGAGGAGTGAGAACATCAGCTGATGTAAATCATCAGTTATAAAAAGTAAAAGTACTTGTCTGACTTCTTGAACTTTACACTTTTCCTTTCATACTCCTCCTGTTCATCTCATTCAATTCCACTCCAAACCTTATAATCATTTCCTTTTAATAGAAGCCATGTGATTGTACATCCCCCTGACCCAGTTTCCTGACAATCTCTAAAGAAGCCTTGACAGCATGAGCTCTGTCTCCCATGAATTTGTTTCATACAGAGTATAGGCTAGCATGGTTGGTTACATTTTAAAACTAGCCCGCAGCCACTGAACCCTTCTGACAGAGATCCCTTTAAGAAGTGCTTTGGTCCAAATGTGGGGGCCAGCGCACCAGAGGAAACGGAAGAGACACGTGTATTGTTCAGTACTCAATGCTTTTCAGTGTGCTGGTAATTCTACATGTGGAGCTGACTGTAGAGTTCTGAATACAGCATATACACTTTGCCAGGGAACTTTGGCCTACTTGGACTTCTGCTGTTGTCCAAAACACTTCAATGGGTTTATGTAAATCTGAGTACTATGAAAATGCCTGACTAAAAAAGTGCTCAACAGCTTACACCAAAAATATTGGCAAAAGATGAGAGCTTTAAGGTGGGTTGTTGATGCCTGAGGAGCTATTAAATCACATTTAAATAAAAAGCTGAATCAAAAGTGTCAAAAAACAACTCTCATGAATACCATTTACTCTGAATAAAAGCACAACATGTGTAATAAAATCATTCAAAACCAAACAGAGCACAGATGAACATAACCTTTTGCTTCAGCCTTTTTTGGGATTTAACGGGTAGAATAATGACAATTATTTTTTTGTGTTTTGTGTTTGACGTGAACAAAACATTTTTAGAGGTTTGAATACATCAACAATTAGGTCACATCATATCTGCAACATGAGCGACTGGAAATGATCACAAGGACCTGTGAAGCAGCCATGTAGACTCACGGAGTATGGAGTATTATAAAGAGAATGACTATTTCATGTTTGTATATTGTTTACTCCCCTTTATTTGAGAGGTGCTGAAGAAGTGCAGTGCAAAGTGTATTTGTGCTGTGCCTCTGGCTTTACCGAGTGCTGTACCAGAGCAGACAGCTTACTGTCGATAAGCAACTATTCATTTCCTTCAGCATTTCATTTATCTGGCTCATGAATACACTACACCAGGATGTGGCGCTCTTTGAAGAAACTCAGCAAAAACACAGCAAATAAAAAATGTTACGTACAAGACATGAATCAGTTTACAAAATGCTTGAGGAATATAAACTGTGTGTAAAGTGCCTAACCTTCCCCGTCCCGAGTGGCAGATGTTGACATGTCTCAAGGTTATGAGCTGAAGTTAAACTCCTCCTAAAAAGCCAGTTATTCTTTTTAAACTTGTATAAAGAGAAATGAACATGGAAGAAGAGGAAGGCAGCACTCACCAGAGGAGACACTGCTATTTATCGGAGGAGGGGCTCTTACAGCTATCAGACGTTCATTTGTTAAACCAACTAGTACGTTTTCATCCAGTCCTTTCTGGCAAAGCATTCGTCTCACTTTTTGAATCATTTGTCAAAGTTTATGTTGGATGTGAATAGTGCTGCGTACCTGGACTCACATTCAGGTTCAGGTCCGGACTCAAGTCCAGAGGTTCAGGTTCAGGTCCGGACTTATAAGTCCGGACCTGAACCCATGGCTTGTGTCACGTTGTGTGAGTAACTAAAGTGAACTTATTGTGAGCTAATTATCAATTGAAAATAAACTCATAATCAACTCAAATTCAAACTCATCAGGTTTATTGTGCTCCCTTCCAACTTGTGTCTACAAAGTACAAATGTAAAAAAAAAACGTTTTGCCACTTAGTCTACACGACTTATGACAGCAACTACAGTGAACTACTACAAAGTTCAAACATTTATTTCATTGACCAAACTAAAGTAACCAAACAGTCCCTGAGCTGACTGAGCCTAAATCCCTAAAACGTTGCTGAAAGGTAGAGTGTAGAGTAGACTATACGCATTACACTGTTACACACCTACTATACAGTATACACTGTAGTGACTGTACAGTCAGAGTGTACTGTACTGTCTGTACACCATGTATTTTCTACAACTCTACATGTGTACATTATACAGTACATACTACATACATAGTGATGTACATGCATACTGTTAGAAATTAAAATCAATGTTGATATGGCGTAATTTGAATTAAATTAAATTTAAATCAGTTTTATTCTGAAAAAACCGGAAGTTCACACTATTATCTTAATACTTTTATTCTGAAAATTATTCACTTCCGGTTAGCATTAGCAAGTGGCGAAATGCTACGTTTTCAAACCGTGAATCGAAGGTGAAATGGCATGTGATGTTGTACACTGAGCACACTGGGATTAGCACTCATTTATTGACGCTGAATAACGTTTATCAGGGAATGTTTAAATAACCACAGACACCAGAATGATGTAATTTAGCAACAGAAAAAGGCAGGAATTGCATCGGACCCGCCCCCCGACGACGCCAGCCAATAGGAGAAAACCTCAGATGACAACAGGAAGAGCAAGGCAATAATTGATTTCTTCTACCTGCTGACCTCGGCTGACATGGGCTGACGGGAGATGAGGAGAGCGCCTCCTTTTGCAATTTCATTTGTACACCACCGCATCTTTTGTGTAATTAAATGCTGTTCACTTTTATAAGCTTCCCTTGACTCTTTTCAGTCTCTCCTGCCTTCAGGGAGGTTTTAGATGGTTTAGAACAAAAAGGAGAATACGTAAGTGCTAGTTTTTTTGCGAGTCCAAGTACCGGTTCCCGACGTTCCGGTTTTAACCGGACTTGAACCGAAACTTTTTACAAGTCCAGTACCGGTTCAGCGTACCGGTACGCAGCACTAGATGTGAACAGGCTCATTGTCCCTTGTGGCCCTCCGCAGTGTCAGTAAGGAGCCCATCTCAGCGTGGCCCTCTGCAGTGTCAGTAAGGAGCCCATCACAGCAGGGGCGGATCTAGACAAATATTCATGGGGTGGCAAGAGGGTGGCAGGAGATTTTGAGGGGTGGCATCCCCTGACAGAAGTATATGCTGATTTAAATCGCAATCATATCAATCAATTAGGGGTGTAACGGTACACGTACCCGTACTGAAATTATTCGGTACGGGCCCTTCGGTTCGGTACACGTGTGTACCGAACGAATATAGCGTTAAACGTAAAAAATTGAGAACATGAACAACTTTCTGGAAGTAATCTATAACATAGAGCGACCAAGTCATTTCATTGGACGAGAGGCATACTATGAGAGCTGGTCACAGGGATGCGTTCAAATGTAGTCAGTAATTTGAGGAACTGTCGAAATGGCGAACGCAGGTAAAGTTGAGCTCGAAAATCCTCCAGCATCATTGAAGTCTCCGGTTTGGGAACATTTTGGTTTCACAGTTACGTACAAGGATGACGGACAAAGACAGGTGGACCGAACCAAAGCTGTTTGTCGGCATTGTTCAACTAACATGGGTTACGCGGCTGGCAATACATCAAACTTGCACACTCATTTGAAAAGGCATCACCCAAACGTGAATATCACCGGTACCAAAAGAAAAAAGACTGAAGTGCAAACCCAACTCCCACTAGCATGTAAGCCTCCACCACTCGCAGAAAGTTCAGACCGAGCCAAAGCTATTACAAACGCCAAGTATCCTTATGTTGCCATGTTAGCAAAGCGCTACCTGGCTGTATCTGCTGCCACTGTCCCTAGAGAGGGTGTTCTCCACAGCAGGAGACATTGTTAGTGCCAGCAGATCTGCCCTTTCAGCAAGCAATGTGGACAAGTTCATCTCAATCAATCAATCAATCAATCAATGTTTATTTATATAGCCCAATATCACAAATGTTACATTTGTCTCAGTGGACTTTACAGTTTGTACAAAATATCAGTATGACAATACGACACCCTCTGTCCTTAGACCCTCACATCGTACAAGGAAAAACTTCCGAAGAAAACCCACAGTTTAAAGGGAAAAATGGGAGAAACCTCAGGGAGAGCAACAGAGGAGGGATCCCTCTCCCAGAACGGACAGACGTGCAATAGATGCCGTGTGTAAATTGAAAAGATAATACATTTGCAACATAGGTAGTCCAAATGTTTGGAAATGCATGTGTGTATAATAGGAAGATGAATCCACGAGGATATCCATCCAGGACCTATGATCCAGGACCACAGCCACGACTCAAGATCCAGGACAGAGGAGCGCAGGATCATCCATGACTCCGGATCCCGGCGTATACAGACACCAAAAAGAAAGACATTTGGGGAAGCTGGGTTAATCGGAACATGAGAGGACACAGGTATAGACAGAGAGAAGGAAGAAGTAAGATGTCCCCCGACAAACTAAGCCTATATCAGCAAAACTAGGGGCTGAATCTAATCAGCCCTAACTATAAGCTTTATCAAAAAGGAAGGTCTTAA